TCAATTATTTATGGCACGATACGAATCACTGGCTACTAATCGTAATGTCAAACTTCTGGCTGAGAAAATTGGCACACGAATAACGAGGTTCCTCCCAATTCATCCTAAAATTCTTCAGTTTCTCAATTTGTGAAAGCGCGCACGCTGATTGGAACCGTTCCTAAGTTTGTGTGTCAAACGCGAAGCGCAGTAAAGTCACGACTTTCTTCGAAACATTGATACGCGTTACACGAGGCGGATACAATTACGGAACATTTCACAAATTATTCCATGCATACGAACCCTACGTGTTTTATCATGGCCGAATACGAGCAGTCATCGTGCAAATTTCTCTGCTCCAAAATTTTCCTTCGAACCAACGAGAAAGAAAGAATACGATGATCTACTAATTTTGTTTCACAATATATGTACACTTTTTCATATGACGATATGCATTAATAAACGAATGACTTGAACCCTACTAAATCCGAGTACTTTTTTATTTTTTGCACCTGTGAATCAAATTGATGACGACTGAGACTCGATGTACGAGCGTAAGGGGTGATAGAAGCTTTCCCTTATTCTATTGTTCTCTGCTGAGAGATTTATGAAAGAGAGTGTACATTATCGATCGTTCATATGTCAATCCTCGTACTAACATTGTAGAGATCCTTCGGACCTTGCTTGGCGTCACGCCACACGGTTTCACACGGATATTCACACGACATTATAATTGTAGAGTCTCGTTACTTACTACAAAGGTCATGGGTACCTGACCACATGACGCGTTCCCCGAAGTGTCTCCTAAGTGCTTTCATTGAAAACAATACATTTAAAGAATAGCATTGTTATCTTATACGTCTCTAATGTATATCGAATTAGTACAAATATGTATGACCGACTGGCAAAAGATCGTTGATAATTATAGTCGATAACTCTCGGTCGATTCTCATTTTCTTAACGACAGAAGTGTGAAAGGTGAGGTTCAAATTGTCTTTATCAAAACTGATTATTTTATCTGTGCTGGGATAAAAATTATACGAATCGAGTGCAGTGCAATCGTAACTCTCAATGTCACGTTAATGCGTATCGACGTACTATGAACTGCAAGACGAGAGCCTAGACATATCGAACGATTGACAACTTCGATAAGTGGTTTGTGTCCTTACCAACGCAATGTTACGTGAACGACAAAAAGCAGCTAATAAAAGAGCAAATGAGTAGATGCGGTCGGTCGGTCGCGACAAGCAAAGACCTTGCGTCATTGATATCCACGAGAATTATCGACGACTTATAGACTCAACATGAAACAATTACGTCGTTACCTCCCTCGTGAGATTCCCTCCGGGCGATCGACGATCTCGGAAGGAAACGAATGAATCACGACAACGGAAGACGAAACGACAGGCAAACCCATGTAACACTTGGCTGGCTGAACGCGATCCGCTGCTTCAGAGTATTAACGCGCTTTGTCTGCTTGCCATGGAAGCTACTTTGATGTTTTTCTTAAACGTGCTCGCGGATGTTACGATAACTTTTTAGCTGAGCTATTTTTATGGCTTTCATAAACTTTACTGCTTAATGGTGTAGCGGAGTCGAAGAAGAAATAATACAGTCGGCCAACTGGCAGAAACTCTACCGAGCAACGTGATCACTCAAAAAGACAATTCCCTATTGTTTTTAGAGTTGCGGTATTCGAATATTACGCTAATTCCGTCGAATTGCTCGAATTAATAAACATAATAATCTAATAATAATGACGCAGCGTATCAAAAGCCATTGACTTCGCTTCGAATTCCCCGCGAGATAAGATTTAATTAATATTCCAATTAATTAAGGACATTCACGCTTAGTTATTATTAATCGCAAACGCTCTTAACTGAAGCAACGCAGATGTCGTTAACGCGGATATCGTTAACGCCAGTGTAAAAGATACCAAGATCGAATGTATAACAGTGGTAAATGGAAATTTTTTGGTTAAATAGAAGCATCAGGTAACGAGCGAACTTGCTTGCTACAATTGTTGGATTCGAGACTTAGAATCGATCCAACGCCTTTTCACTGCGTACGTACTCCTTCTGCCGAGGTCACACATAAATAATCAGTTTTTTAAAGCTATACAGTCATGTATGTTCAAAAATTATCTACTAACTATGCACATACTTATATCTGTTACATACACATTTTCCAGGCGTAAATTACATAATTTTCCATAATGTATGCAATTTGAAACGGTTATTATTATATTTCAACTAAACGTTGTCGTTCTTATTGAAAAGTTTTTATGTTAGATAATAGCAGAAGAGTTTTCTTAGCAGTAGTCTTATAGAGAAGGCTCAGTCGTCTTTTGCGTAATTTGTGTAATCGATGGAAATTAGAGCATGTATGTGAAAAGTGTTTAGTGAAAGTGTTCAGGTAGTCTCAGATGAACTTGTGTTTCCACCAAGCACATGGATCTCATTTGAACCGAAGCACTCGAGTATATTATCGACGACCCGTTATACCTGGTGATCTCGCGTGCAACGATATAGGCATTGTGAAATAGTGAATGGTCTACCGCAATTCTATACCGATTTCAAACAGTCCACGCTTCTACGCACCGGTTCTTTTTAATTTATCTAATTCTTTGTTTAACCCTTGACACTCATTGTCAACACTGAATCTCATATTATTGATTAATTCTTTTTAATAGTGAAAAATAATCACGTATTTTATATAAGACAGTTTGTTTGGATCGATAATTGGAGGAACTGTCATTGATGAAATGTATTGATCTATAAATAGTAAAAATAACATTAACGTCTGTTGTTATAATAAAGACGTCGCACGTACTAATCAACCATAAAAAGTGTGATTCACGATCAGTTATCGCGCACGTCACGGTAACGCTTAATTAAATTATCATGCCGGGTCTAACTGACTCCAGTAAATTTCACGCTGCGTGATTAGTTGTTAAACACAAAATCAAATCCGCCATATTTATCACATGTGCTATACATAAGTAACAACGGCGAGTTGTTCAATAGGCAAGCTAGTTTCTAAAATTTCTTCATAAGCAGTAACGCATCTTCAGATTAGAGTTTATCTTTATTGTTTGAAACAAATACAATATATGCGACTTACGTAATTCTAGCTGGAGTTTAGTACCGAAATTGGTTGAAAGACGATATTATTTATCAAGGAAACTATTATCGATGATTAAGTGCGACCTTTCGTTATACTAACGGGATTATAAGAATTCCCTTGTGAAAATATTGTTAGTGAAAATTAGTATCGCTAATAATCGTCGCAACTTGCATACTTTCGAGAAGTTATTGTGTACACTGAAACGAATATGTGGTTAAAAACATCGTGTGACATTGCCGTTTAAATTCCTAAACAAACTGAACGGTTGAAACTGTTTCCCAGATACCTCAGAATATTATTAAATACTTGTGATCCAATGACAAAGCGGATCGAGGTAACGCGATCTCGTATATCTACTTGCTCATGACACAGGATAATTACCAACAATTTCTTCGACAGTTGATACCTCGTGTCATTAATTTAATTATATAAGCGTTGCCCGTGTTTCAAAGAAATACCGAGATAAATTCCAGAGTTTTAAAAGGTATCGGATGATCGCAGAATATTCTTTCTTCCAAGGGAAATCGAATACCAAGAAAGCATTCGGTGCAATGAAATACAATCAGTGGGTATACTGCGTCTAGAGGAAAAACAGCGAAATTGATTTCTATGAAACTATGAAAGGAAGTCAACTAATCGCTTATCGTCGTTTGGTACACATAACATTTGAGATTTATCTTCGACGCACATCGACATCATGATACTTATTTTTATCCCTTTATCTTTTTACTCTAGTAAATAAAATCCTCAGGGATGCGTCATGACTCGTGGCATATTCCTGGTCGCAGACACGTGACTGACAATAGACGCGTCCATAATAACTCACGTGTGTTCGATCGAGAACGGGTTCTTAATTAAGTTGTTAATTTTTGCTTGAGCTTCCGAGTAGAAAAACAATATTGAGATACACGCACGAGAGGAGGCAGCGCATTAGACTAATCAGCTGTTTTGCAATTAGAATAATGCCGTAGCGACGACCAATCAGGCTCGTTCGTTCGATTGATATCGAACCACGCCTTTGGAATCAAAAATTAAACCACTTGTTATACGTTAAAGTATTTTGCATACTACTTATTTGCCCCTCGACTTTATGAGATTACGGATGTTTATGTAAATTTCTATTTCCATCCGCAATAACGTGCAGATAAATTCTATTTCGTTTCAACGGTTCATGAAAAATCCGCTGGATCATTAATACATTAAAATCCAGTTTGTCCAGTTTCGAGCTTGCTTCCTAATGCCGTTTTTCGTTATGAATGATGATGTCCTTAATCTCTGTCCCCAATGAAGTCCTAGCCAGATCCGGATCAGTCGAGTGTCGCTTGCCGGTATTCTCCACTGGCAATTAAATTCAATTCGGCTTTACTGAATCCGAGATTCTGTCTAGTCGTCTATGGCAATGACTACCAGAGCGTATAAATATCTTTACCAATTTAGAAAGCGTTTTTAATAGCTGTTGGCAAAGCATTTTAAATTATCTATCGTCCTAGTTTATAACACAAGTCTTTTCCATTCGCTTTTAATGTTATCCTCGATGGTATCTTGTAAAATCATTCTCTCTTTGTATTTCATGTAAATAACTTGTAATTGTAAAGTCTTGCAAAACAATTTTTATCGAATGCACAATTCCAAACGCTCTCTCGAATTTAAATAATTTATATAAGAAAATAGGTAGACAGCGTTCCTGAATCATTTGTTTATAAGTTACAATTCAATATCTGAGAACACAAATGCCTGTGGTTAATGAAACGGTAAATCTCAGTTGATTCACGATTTAAGAGAACAAATGATTAAGGAACTGAATGTCCATGACTCATTCGCATTATTTCAAGGCGACTTTCTGTCACCGATATTCATTATTATAATCGTAGCTTGTTAAGATTGAAATCACCTACCTCTAGATTGAACACTGTGATTTATTCGCTGCGTGTTGGCGGCTTCTTATTTGTCACTCACAAAAAAGAAAAATTATAAATGTGTTCACTGAATCTCGGCTACTCGTACGACAAGCTCTCGTTTCTCTTTCTGTGCACCTGGAGTTAGATTTGAACAGTCTACTATCTATGGAGATAAAACAACCCCCGCGTGACGACACGAAGAGAGCGCAGCTCTCGCACGGAGAACTCACTGCAGACTGGCGCGGTTCCCGCTTCTGCTGGCTGACTAACTCACGCCGCGCCGGTTTTACCGTTCAACTCGGCTCGATGCAACCCGCTATAGCTCGTGTCATTGATGCCAGCGTAAACGTGACTGCGATTGCGTTAGCCTGCGTGGGGTACCCGGCTTCTTGGACACACGATCAACGGATCAAGAGAACTTCTTTCGATACTCTCGTCAGTCTCATTTGCATTATTACATTTCCCTCGAGACGCGTTGACGCAATCATGCAATTCTGTTCTTATGATGATGGTCAAAAAATGAACTACACGATGTATTAATTAGCGTACTGAAATACTGTGGGAGTTAAACAATAGAACGTTTCTAATGTCAATGTAATGAAAACTCTAATTTATAGATGTTATTCATATTGTAATTTTTGTTATCAAGTTAGTCTGTTCGTTAACTACTATGATTTTCAACGAATCCTACGACATAGAAATATGCACTAAGTGGAATAATGAAAATGTATTCTAATTATTATGTAGAAAATATCCTTCCTTTGTCTAATCTTTAATTGGCCTCTAATCTAAAAATGTACATTTAATTATTAGTATTTAAAATTAAACGTACGTCGCAATGCAGAATAATAATAGCAGTGTACGTACAACATCAAAAACATGAGATTGCTTCTAGAATGTATTTTTGATTAAGTTATCCTGGTCGCATGTTCTGCAACGAGTTTTAGAAATTCACAGGAAATGAGAGACAGATGTGAATTTTATTACTGTTTGATCGTAAATGAATGGAAGGTTGAAGTGAGATAAGAAACGTATCAAGGAATATTTTGACAAACATTATGCCTGAAACGTACGTGTCTGAACTAGGAACGTCTGGATTTACTTAATCATTCCTGGTTATTCCTTGAAAAACTAATAAGTGTTTAGAACTTAATGTATCTAGATTTATCGTTACAATAATAATATTAGGAGAACTTTAATGGTACAATATTTTTCTGCACGATTCATAAAACAATTCTGTTTCATCCATGGAATTTTCCACACTAAATTCATGAACTTCCAATCACCGTGAATATGTAGCATAAAAATTCACAAGAAAAATCACAACTTCTCATAATTCGTTGCAAAAAATTTTCACACCCAACAAACTGATAATTCTACGTATATTTACTGACAAAATGTTATCATTACTATTCCTATCTTTCGCAGTTATTTTAAACATACAAAAATACGCACACGTTTTCGGAAAGCGTAATTCACCAGTGTTTTTATTGACAATATATTATAACTTGTGTATGGCACTAGCCTTCCAGAACCATTATCTTTGTAACCGCATATGGTGTACAGAAGATAAAGAAACAGCGTTTTTTGCTTTTGTGTGCAGATCGTTGAGACTAGTCCGCGACTGGGAATACAGACATTAATATCAATTCATCGTCTGTTACCGCTTCTCAGTTGACCTGTAACATTTAATTGAGACAAAAGACTCCGTGCGGTTCTCGCGCGACGAGATCTGCGAGAAAAAACCGAGCAAGGAAACGAGCGATTGCTCATTCCAGGGCACGCTCAGCCTCGTTTGGAGCAACGGTACAATTAACGTTCCGCAGACAAAAGATTATATTCTCATACAATTAGTAAAATTTAAAGCATGCAACCTTCCTTTGTCTAATCTTTAATTGGCCTCTAATCTAAAAATGTACATTTAATTATTAGTATTTAAAATTAAACGTACGTCGCAATGCAGAATAATAATAGCAGTGTACGTACAACATCAAAAACATGAGATTGCTTCTAGAATGTATTTTTGATTAAGTTATCCTGGTCGCATGTTCTGCAACGAGTTTTAGAAATTCACAGGAAATGAGAGACAGATGTGAATTTTATTACTGTTTGATCGTAAATGAATGGAAGGTTGAAGTGAGATAAGAAACGTATCAAGGAATATTTTGACAAACATTATGCCTGAAACGTACGTGTCTGAACTAGGAACGTCTGGATTTACTTAATCATTCCTGGTTATTCCTTGAAAAACTAATAAGTGTTTAGAACTTAATGTATCTAGATTTATCGTTACAATAATAATATTAGGAGAACTTTAATGGTACAATATTTTTCTGCACGATTCATAAAACAATTCTGTTTCATCCATGGAATTTTCCACACTAAATTCATGAACTTCCAATCACCGTGAATATGTAGCATAAAAATTCACAAGAAAAATCACAACTTCTCATAATTCGTTGCAAAAAATTTTCACACCCAACAAACTGATAATTCTACGTATATTTACTGACAAAATGTTATCATTACTATTCCTATCTTTCGCAGTTATTTTAAACATACAAAAATACGCACACGTTTTCGGAAAGCGTAATTCACCAGTGTTTTTATTGACAATATATTATAACTTGTGTATGGCACTAGCCTTCCAGAACCATTATCTTTGTAACCGCATATGGTGTACAGAAGATAAAGAAACAGCGTTTTTTGCTTTTGTGTGCAGATCGTTGAGACTAGTCCGCGACTGGGAATACAGACATTAATATCAATTCATCGTCTGTTACCGCTTCTCAGTTGACCTGTAACATTTAATTGAGACAAAAGACTCCGTGCGGTTCTCGCGCGACGAGATCTGCGAGAAAAAACCGAGCAAGGAAACGAGCGATTGCTCATTCCAGGGCACGCTCAGCCTCGTTTGGAGCAACGGTACAATTAACGTTCCGCAGACAAAAGATTATATTCTCATACAATTAGTAAAATTTAAAGCATGCACAAATGATTCGCTTGCTGTTAAATGTTCAAAAGAATACACAAAACACGATAATAATTGCAAAAATCTTTATCGGAGTATAAGCAATATCGCTTTAATAGATTACAGGCTATCACAGACCATTAAGATTACAGGTAAGTCTATTTGATTTACCAAAGATTATACTACGTCCGTCTGATCAGATGCCGCTTGACAACTTCGTAAGACGCCGACGACGCCCAGGTTTACACGGTGATTCATCCGCCTCTTCGTTCTTGTAACTCTCAAGTATTGCAGAAAATTATTACAAGTTACGAGAGCTGCGAGACACATTTTTTTTGCATGTCATTGAAAATTGCAAGAACAAAGGAGTCTTGGCCATTTTTTATCATCTTGCGATGGAGGAATAGCGTTGAAACTTGAAATTCGTAGCACAGTCGAGGAAGTTCAATGTACTAAATGGCGAAGTTACTATCCGGGTGTTTCAAAATTACAATTTAAATGAGTTTCATGTACCGATGCGCCAGGCTAGATACGCATCGGCGTGTTACCACGATCTGTGAAAATATCGTTTCCGGTGTTTCAACGAAGTACAATCTTCTTCATCTAGGAGCCCATTCTTTCTACTGAAATGTCTGAACGAACAATGGAAATTGTAATTATAATATCATTATTTATATGTCAAAATGATTTCTTCATGGGATGGACTTTTATTTATAGAAACTCTCGTCTAGGGTTATCCTTCGAAATTTCTTAATCAGTTTTGAAAGAACACTTTTTGCCAATGTGACATTCTGCTTAAGGCAACGTAACGTTATGAATATAGTTTCTGTAATATGCAAAGTTTGCAAATAGCCGGTTTTGTCAGATCGAATATTTCACTTTGTGCATGACTCACTCGCTTTGACCTGTCTATACAACGACTGACGCCATTATTCTTTAGCCCAATTAAGACAATTTCCCCTTGGCCTTTTTATCAAGTTTAACAATAACTTTCTTCGAGCACTCCTTCGGACAGAATTGGAAAACAGTGCTTTCTCTTCACACACGATAAAACTGTTTGCAGTGTAATAACTTTCTCTGTATCATGTGCCTTTAGATATCCACAGATAACATTTTTTTTTACATCAAATTGCATTCTTTCAGGTGACATTCGACAAAATATATAGACAAGTCTTTTGGAGGAAAAATTTTTTGTCCGTCAATATTTATCAGGAAACAGGAAAACAATAAATTATGATACAGAAATGCCATAACAGGTTTGTCCGGGATCACGTAATCAGGCTTAAAAGGCTCACCGTTGACATTGTAATTTCATCGACAACTTCGGTAGAAAAGTGCTATCTCTTCGCTGAGAGACAAACGGTACTCCTTTAGATATTTACGAATCTGTACTTGTTTCATGAAAATCTTTTGTTTAACACTCGTAACATTTCCTCCTGATAACTTCTTATAATATTACAACACGACATTACACAGCGAATTACAAAAAATTAAACATTTATTTCTTCACGGCACTTCAGCTATCTTGGTACTGTTACACATTGTGTAACACGTGGTATCTTGTACTTGAAATCAAAAGAGCCGGTTCAATGTAAATCCAACGGAGGAAGCTGAATCAATGTATGCAAATCAATGCATCGGGCAATTTAAGTTGATTGGGCGTTGTTACTGCCATCGCAAGACAGTTCGCTGCTTCCGTTTTAAATAAAAATAACAAGCACCTAAACTTGAATTCAGTCTTTCACAAAAATACACGTGTAAATTATTTTTGACATCTAAGAGAAAAATTTCAGATTGTTAAGAATTGACGAAATTCAAGACATTGCGATACGAAGTATGATAAAAAATTGCTTTAAATTTTATGCTTATTTCATCAGACGAGAATGGGATTAATCAACTGTTTCCTAGAAGATTGATTTTGATAATATGACATGTATTGTTCCGATAAGAGACATTTAGGCTGGTAAAATCTTTTGATCACAAAGTTCGAAGTTCGCCGGATTATCCTCACGTCGCGACGGAGAACCCCACCTGCGAAGCGTCACTTGATGCGGCGTAGGTCGAAGTAAGATGACGTCGCGACGTTGCAAGATATTCTTAGTGAGATAAGATACGTGTTCTCCTCCGTGCAGAACGTTCTGTGTTTTCTGTAAAACCCTGATACCCGTTGCAATCTTTTAACAGTAAATACAGTTAAACCGGGTACATGATAACTTTGTGTACTTGGAACTCCTCGAGCAAGCGTGTACGATCAACAATTATTCTTTTTCTCGCTGTTTTCTGATACTTCGATATTGCGGAACTGAGAATACATTTTCTCATTAATCAAAAGCAAGTATTTTTATACAGAATGCAAAACCTAATTGTAGACAAACGAATGATGTTTTTCCTCCTTTTACCTGAGGTGAGATCGCCTCAACAAATAAAACGCCAAATGCTATATTTAAAGTTGTAAATTACCCGGTCAGACTTCTCGTTATTTAGACGAAATGTACGTCATAATTGCGCATACCTTACTTTGAGCGAATCTGTTCTTTGTCAGTTTGTAACGCCGGTGCTAAGAACTAAAAATTGACGCTAAGTAATGAGAGATGGACAATTCCAAGTCTTCACGGTTTGTTTCTGCGTACAGAATGACCACGACCTGAGATATGTTAATGATGAAATCATTCTAGAAAATACATTGCTATGAAAAAAACGTAATCACACTGAGACAACAATTCGTAGAAAATTACCGAATATGAATCGATAAAGGCTTCTGAGTTCACTCCGATTGCTCTTCTCTGATCTCAATCTGATTGAATTCAGAATACAAGACAAAATGTGTTACGAGGTTCATACGATATGATTCTCCCAATCAAGTACGATTATACCCAAGTTAATGAATTACTTAAACAGCCGAGTGGTGAATAACAATATGTTTAAAGTAGCACGATCCGTAATAAGGATAGAAACGCGTGCAGCTGGAAAATGACGTTTTTCAGTGCACTATTATGCAACTATTTACGTCACGATTCGTCTATTGCAAATCAGTGAACTCGTTGAAACGTCCGGAATCTTTTGTTCGCGAATAAAGGTAGCGATGTCTTCGACGTGGTCGAAAGAAAGAGAGAAGAAACGAAGGTTCTGCTTAGCCAAAGGTTAGTCAACGGATCCCGTTCCTCGGCCGGTATTCCTTTCTCTTCGTCTCTCTCTCTCTTGTTTCCACGAAGGCCGTCCGGTTTTAAATACGGAATCGCCGATCCGCACGTACGTCATTTTAAATATCATGTAGCCGGGCACTTCCTGCAATTTAGTGCTAGGATCGGCGTGAATGAATCGGCAATAAATAATTTTCCAGAAACGCGCCTATCCCGCTGCTGGTTACCGTTTTATCTGCCGATTTCCCGTGTTTTCCGACCTTCGATGCACGCGTAAACTTCCCCGCGAGTTTAATGTTTCGGATAAACTACATTCTTGCGTCAGAGATTCTTTTAGAATCGGACGTGTTCTGGATCGATTCGGAATTTATAAAGTGCTGGTCAATCAAATGAAAATCGTGCGCCTTATTCAATGAAATCCAATACGAACTTCTATTTAAGGATCTATAGGCTATATACTTAAACGATGCTTGTATGTTGAA